TCGGTCATCCCGGGTATGGTCGCTGCCAAGACAGCTTGGAACAAGCTGAAATCCGAGTCCCCTGAGCGACTCACGAGCCCTATGAGGTGCGCTTTGTTTTCGTGCCTGATTAAGGAGATGTTGAGCCGCGTGGGAAGCTTGGAGCAGCAACCTACGCGGAAGCAGACGTTGCACAAGCTTGGCTGGATGGAAGGAGACGAGTTCCTCTCCCTAAGGTGGGACACAAAGCTTAAGAAGCTGATTGGGGATCCCAGTGGGCCAAGGCTCACACAGGCCCGAACCCTGGAGATCATTGCCAAAATCGGCGAAAAGAGCCAGTCCGGAATGGCGCTGGTTCGCTTCCATCCCACCCGGCCCATTGGAGACAACATGGCCGAGGGCACGGTCTGCTTCCTGTTGCAGTTTAACCTCATGGAGACGGACGGTCGCTTTCTTTACGACTACATCGCGGAGCTCTGCAGCACGGGGGCTACGCAGCTCATGGGATTGGAGATCCGGAAGGAGCGCCTGGGGCGCAGCGCGTTAGCGCAGCAGCTGAGCAATGCCTGAAGGCGTGGCTTGGCCGGGACAGCGGACCAGCGGACCAACAGCGTCACGCGTGGCCCAGTTTTGGTTTGATCTTGATCTTCATCAGCTTTTCTTCAGGCTGGCCCCATACGGAGCACAACTTCCTGCTGCTCTAGGGCTACTAGCTTGCGCAAGCATGATGACATCACAGCCGAGCGGCAATGCGCAAAACGCCGCTGCAACGAGGTGATGCTTTGTTGGTTACATGGCGACTGCACTTGTCGCACCCCGCAGCGGTCCCTTGCCCAGGTTTCGTGAAGCAGGTGTACTTTGACATCGGTGTCTTCAGACCAGCACGGGGCCTAGACGCGCGCCTGGCGCTCCTACATGTTTGCGGCGATGTCTGGATTCTCTGCGCTGAATACAACATGTATTTCTCAAGCAATTTTGATGGGATCAAATTGGATAGCGCGGTTGTCCAGCATTCGATGCAGCAGGGGATGGATGCCTCGATGGACACAACCGGGCGTCAGGAAGAGACCGAAGACAAGCCCCAAGCTCAGGAACGCCATATGCAGGCGGCCTCACTCTATGGTCACGGAACGGAGCTGCTCGAACTCTACTTGAGTAACCAAATGTACCTGGTGAAGGTTTGTC